CGGAGACAGACGTTAAATTAGGAGGCCCCGCCTCTTAAATAACCTAATAGTCTTGATAGGGGCGTTAAACTCATACCATTTCACCATTTCTTTCAGCCCAGGCTGGCACTGATAAACAGGGTCGAAGCCCGCCTTCTAAGCGAATGAAATTGTGTCGATCGGGGCGTAAAAAAAAAACCCACATAAAAAAACAGCATTAATTTGATGATCGGTATCGTTTCGATGCTCATTATACATCTCTTCACCTCGAGACATACACTCAGTGGGTGGTTGATGGGTGCTCTTATTATGTGGTCTGCTCCTTCTTTCTTATCAAACACCCGTCGTCCTCATCTCTCCCCCATAATAATTTTGTGTTTGTTACGCTAATGACCCATCTCTAATCTTAGGCACTTATACGACCTTGTTGTGTTGTAAGTGCCGTAAAACACGCACGAAGACAAAAAGATATACTCTCGCGGATATCTCGATCAAGCAGAGTTCGTCGCTCGAGGTGCATGGTTGGTGGGCAGTCTTGTGCGATCTGATTTCTCTACTTCTTTTTCAGTATTACTTCGCTACGATAGAATAACAAAGTTCGATCTTGACATTGTTTGGCCGTTTTGAGTTACTGAGACCACAAGGTCAGAAACCAAATGTTCTACCTGCTCTCTCAAAACCGTAAGATTATTCGGAGTCGTTATCTAGATATTCAAAGAATTGCATTCGAAAAAGATTGACGTAAATAATATTATTATAGTGAAAAGTTTTGGTTTTTTTAATTCGTCCAATTTCTCAAAACTAGGCCCTGGACTGATAAAACTTTGTCATTCTAGGGTAGCGACTTATTTATTTCTATATATATTAAATCAGTTGTTCCTCTCGAAATGTTGCTGTTGTGCTGACATCGCGGGACACATCATCACGAAATGCCTATCATACTGTCACTCTTTACCATCCGGCTGTCAATCTGTTCGTGTTATCTGCCTGTCTGCTCTTGGGCAGTTTATGGACGCTCTTGTGTGATTTTCGCTTTATAAATTTATTAATTTTTTTTTTTAAATACAGGAGCCTCTTCTTCCTCTCAAAACGGGACCATCCTGCATGGTGCTCATTCGACGTCGTTTTTGTGCGTAGTATGTGTTTATCAGTCTGTATATGAGCTGTGCCCCTCCCCTCCCTCCCCCCCTCTCTCTCTCTCTC